CCTCCCCCCAACCCCCTTGTCTCAAAAAGCTCACCCCCGCCGAACGCGCCTTCCTCCAGGCCAACGGCGGTTGTTTCCGTTGCCGCCAGCTCGGGCATCAGCAAACCAATCGCCCCAAGGCCGGCCGCTCCACCCACCAGGCTTCCCGCCCCACCAGATCCAGCCCTCCCACATCCACTTCCTCCTCCTTTACCATGGCCTCTAGGCCCTCCTCCACTTGAACGTTGTCCCCCCGCCCCGTGTAGCCATGTCCTGGCATCAACAATTCGTCCGCCTGCCCTCCTCCCGACGACGTCCTCTATTCCGTCGGCTGAGCACCCCACGGCCACATGTTCCACTACCCTCCTCCCCAACCCCTCCACCATCACTTTCTCCGATCTCGTTGAGGAACAAGACCGACATACTTGGCTTGTGAGATTAGGCCTCGAGCAGCGCCCCCGCAACGTCATGATCTCCTCCGTTTGTGCTGGGACCGCCCAGTTCCAACTCAAGTTCGTCGCCGTCTCCTTTGGAGCATTGACGGTGAAGTTCCGGGCCCTTCTCGACATTGGTGCCACTGGCACGGATGCCTGTATCCGCAAAGTCGGCCTCTCTTCCACCGACTATGATTCCCCGATCACCATCCACCTAGGGGATAAGGACTCAGCCATCGTCGTCGACCGCACAGTCCCCGAGAGCACAATGACTGTCGGCCCTCTTCACAGTCAGGTCTCCTTCCATGTCATGCACCTAATGTGCGACACCTTTGGAGCATCGACGGTGAAGTTTCGGGCCCTTCTCGACATTGGTGCCACCGGCACGGATCCCTGTGTCCGCAAAGTCGGCCTCTTTTCCACCGACTATGATTCCCCGATCACCATCCACCTAGGGGATAAGGACTCGGCCATCGTCTTCGACCGCACAGTCCCCGAGAGCACAATGACTGTCGGCCCTCTTCGCAATCAGGTCTCCTTCCATGTCATGCACCTCATGTGCGACACCGTACTCGGGACTCCTTGGCTCGACTGCTACATGCCCTATACCTTCCACCCCTCTTTCGTCCGCCTCTCCACCCCCCCGATCCACCCCTTGACATCCCCTACCTTCTCCCTCCCTCCACCCCTTCCCCCGTCTCTCCTCACCAATTTCTTCACATGACCCGTGAGCACCCTGACTCCGCCTACTATTGCCTTGTCATTGACCGCGACCGTCCCGAGGACTTGCTTCCAACGGACAAACCCGAACAAGACCCCCCCTCCGACCCTCAGATCTCCGCCCTCCTATCCGAATTCAAAGACGTGTTTCCCGAATCCTTGCCCGCCGGACTATCTCCCGATCGAGGTGTTTCCCACACCATCGATCTCGAGCCCGGCCACTCCCCCCCTTGCCGCCCCCCGTACCAGCTCTCCGTCCCCGAGGCCGAAGAAATGAAGCGCCAGGCTCAATGAACTCCTTGAAAAAGGATTCAT